TCGTTTAGATTTTCGGTGTAAAAGAATCGATAACGCTTGAGTACAGAGAGTGACTGTCGCGGGCGTGAAATGACTCGTAATGAGCTCTTTGTCCACCTGTGTGTGTGTGTGTGTCCCTTGTTCCAGCTGGCATTGCTCTCGTAGCCAAAACCGCACACAATGTCAGTGTTCTTCATTGTTTACTTGCGAACTTGTGCCGCAGAGTTAAATGTCACATGTCAAATTCAGGACATTGTATTATTATTATTATTTAAATCAATGACGAATCAGTGTCAGACTGCTGCACTGCACGCGCACACAAGTTAGCTGCATTGTTGTTTTAATGTTCACGCGTTATCAGGAAAATGCCTGGTGACGATGATGCTGTTTGGGGCCGTCCATAAATGACGTCACGCACCTATGGGGGGGGGGTCAAACATTTGTGACGATTTGTGACGAGGGGGGGGGGGTGAGAAATGTGACGTCACATCAAAATGCGCAACTTTAAATAAATATAGACAACACGTTCTACTTATTAAATATACTTTTTAATAAATGTTTTCTCCTACAACATCAGAGTGCAGCGCCACATTAAATACGCACTACAATGATAATAGTTTACAGTGATTTGAAGCATGTTCTATTTGGGGGGGGGGGGGGGGCAGAGCTTCGTGACGTCATATTTGAGGGGGGGTCTGACTTTTTGTGACGCCGTGTGACGAAGGGGGGGGGGAGGTCAAGCATCGTCCAAAATCGCGTGACGTCATTTATGGACGGCCCCTTTGTAGATATGATTCGGAAAAAATATGGCTCCACTTGGTAGAACGTACTCTTTGGTTCTTTCGGTAAAGTCACGCAGATAGAAACTTCATCGATCACGACGTTTCGATCGCAACACAAGCAACCGTCGGTGAGGCCTCAGCAGTTAACCTGTTGTGTTTGTCTCACCTGATGGCGATTGCTTGTGTTGCGATCGAAACGTCGTGATCTATTAATTTTCTATTTGCGTGACTTTACCGAAAGAACCAAAGAGTATGGATTCCTGCGGTCACGAAAGCTTCAAATCAAGATTGGGTAGCACGTGTGCAGCATTGCGGAGGGATGACTGCCAAGATTGACATCAGAGTGGTCTCAACGAGTCTGGCGACCAAGGGGAAGACCTACGAGGAAGATGGTAGTGGGAGGCTGTCAGGGCAGATCCTGGTGGTCAAGTGTCTACCGTGCAGCAACAGCAGCTGCAGGCCCTGGCGGAGGGGAGAAATTCATTGACGAATCGTGTTGGCATGATCAGCTTTGGTTGTGTTGACATCTTGGTCTTGTATTTATTTGTTGTTCAGTTCGCTCGTAGTCTATTTAGAAAACTAAAAGTAAAGTACAACGTGTTTACTTGCTGGACAAACGTGTTGTAGGGGCACAACTGGGAAACGCAATATGTACATTGAGTGCAGACTGGAGTGAAAATGACAACATGAAGAGGCCATCTGGAGCAGGTTGGAGTGCTTCTGGAAAATAAAATTTCTAAATGTAAAACAACATACCAATGTGCCGAAACATTAATGTTTTTAATTGGTGGCTATGACTTGCGATGACATACGATTCGGGAACATGGACCCTGATAAATGAAGTGGAAGAACAGGTGAAGAACGCAGATAGAATCATCTAGAGATACAGGCCGTGAACATCGTGTCACTGCACAGCATATTGTGGGTACAGTGCAAAATGGATGGCTTTGGTGATGAATCTGGTTTGCTTACATTACCCTGACAGAAACTTACCATTCAAGTCCTGCTTTACAAATGCTGACCTCACAATTGATTAGATCAGCTGGCAGATGCAAAAACCACATGCAACTATTTAGAATGCAGTCCACACCTGTATATATTCACCATACGTAAACGATGAAGCACTCGTGAAAGTCGCTGTATACATCTATATAAGATCGGATAAGGTTTATTTCAGTGGCATCTCACGCCAATAAGGAAAACAGCTAAAACAGCGGCATCCTCAGTTACTAATGCCACCAGCGTCATGCCCAGATTGAATTTGATGCATTTCTATTTAAAAAGAAGTACGCAGTATTGGGTTTTTTTCTACCTCTAGCCATACAACTAATGTCCTTGTGCGCGTGAAATGTCAACTCAAGGGGTCAATTCGCTTATCGATAATTCCTGCCTCTTATGTGACCGAAGCCTAACGGCACAATCGCCCTACATGCTCCCGATATCATCGCATGGCAGAGGCTTTAGGAGGGCTGAGTCTGGTTTGTGACTTGGGTGGGTGAGCGAGCATGCGCCCTGGCCAGGTGTTGTAGGCGTGCGATGGTAAGGTTGCCTGAAGATGGCAGCGTGTAGTGTTAACCGGCCCCACCACTCTCATATCACTACCCTCACGTATGTGTTCTCCGGATACTCCAAATTCCTTCCACATTTATTCCCAAAATACTCATTCGTGGTATTTGCCAAACATCCATATGTAGGACCCAAGTGGAAATGTCTTGAGACTCATTGAGTAAAATAATTGGCTGAAATTGATATTGCTGTATTATGTTAGCATATAACCATAAATCACTGGAACAGCATGTGCACGCATTAACGCACGGAACATATTTGGAAGCCTCTCATTCCTGTTATGGATGTAATGAGGTAATGCCTTTGTTTATGCGGTAAATCGTGCGCTATTATTATTTACTTCTGTGCCCACCTCCCCCCCCCCCCCGAAGCTAGATAGCGTAACAATGAGACTGGTGTAAATGGTAAATGTGTGAGATTTGTGAACCTCCCACCAACAGCCAAAACATTTTCGAACATGACTTGTAAGTAAAAGAAAGAAAAGGTTGACGCAGAACACTGTAAGGGATATTGCTATTGAAATGGTAATTCGAGAAAACACATTCACTTTATTTTGTTTATTGATGTAGCGTAACCAGCTGCCTGGAATATTAATGCGGGGCACATGTACACGCGCAGACATGCACAAATTTTTTTACCATTTTTTTTCAATTTCAAAATTGTGTGTGGTGTAGCTTCTGTGGATTTTCATTTCGTGTACCCTAGAGGGTGACTGCCAATTGAAGAAGCACTTAGTGCCAGGCTTCTTGATGTTTGTTCAGACGATGGGAATAGCACGGATCCTGGTGACATCTACTGGCCAACATGACGGCACCCAACCCATGATGCTTTGTTTGATGTATTACACATCGCAACAGGAATAACCCATACTGTCCGTTAATGATACGTTGTGATGAACAGATGCAAAAAAAGCATGTTGAATTCATTGGACTTGCTGGTTTCTAGATATTTTTTCGCAAAATTTCTACGCGTGATGGATTGCCATAGTTGGAAATGAGTCTGATTGAAAAAAACCTTCCGAAGTGTTGGACAATGCAATTAATGTTTAAAATGTTTTGTTGAATTGCATTGTGGGTGTACGGTCATCACAAGGACTACAGCAGTTTAAGAAGGCCCTGTACGACCACCACCTTCTCAGCACAACTTGAGATGGGCAGTACATTTTTGATCCACCAGCAATGTCCACATTCCAAAGAATAAAAACAAATGTCGTTCGTGCAATTTTGTTCTCACAATTGCTGAGGAACCACGAACAAACTGGGTGGCAGCAGCCAGGCAGTTAGTCGGTGACAACCATTGCCTAAGCTCTGCAGTTGATACATAGTCCACGTTAAAGCCCAAGTAGCCAGGGTCACGTGTTTGGTGAGTTATTTATAATTCGCAGTTGCCTCATGTGGGTTTTAATTGCATATAGCAAGTAAAAATGTATTGGCCTTATTGCTTCTGTGCATCATTGGACTTGTATAAGTGTTGGTTTATTGTGTAATTTTCATAGCAAATGTGGAATGTTATCTGCTCAGCGATGTGCACACATTTGTCTGCGTTCATGTGCAAGCACATATACGAGCGTTTACAGTTTTTCTTTTAATTCATGAGATTTTCAATGTGCTTTGTTATTTGAATATGTATGCTTGGCATTTTAATATAGCATGCTGGAGTAGTACGATTACGGTCAGTTCATTGCAATACGATGCCATTCAGCCAAGTTCAATAACAGACTGCATTCCATTGGCAACTGGGCTCTCAATATCATCAAGGTCCTCTCAAAAAACGAGGAGAGGTCCTTTCCTCTTTTCTCAGCCTGATGATGACCGCTTGCGTTGCGATCGAAACGTCGTAGTTTTTTTGTTATGTTTGTTCTTTTCTTTGAACCTATCTTACGTGACTTTACCGAAAGACCCAAAGAATAAGGTCCTCTCATTTTTAGATTTAAAGCTTTCGTGACTGCAAGGATTCATCTTCTTGGTTCTTTCGGTAAAGTCACGTAGAAGGGAAGTAATTAAATAATAAAAATAAAACATATTACTTCCCTTCTACGTGACTTTACCGAAAGAACCAAGAAGAAGGTCCTCTCAGTTTCATCTTAAAATTAGTACATAGCACTGCCTGTTAATATTAGACACGGGACAATGCACCCCCTGCAGACAGTTTATGAATTGTCACTCTTCAGGGTCGTTATCCGATTTAATAAACTATTGGGTTTTTATCTCATGCCTTGTAAGTAGTTTCAATTCTAATTTGTTCTACCGCATCTGTATAAATGTGCTCACTCCACTATAGCCGACATGTAAGAGTTTTTATTTAATTTTCATTCATTATCGGTAATCACAGCGTTGTTCGTACGTTTCCTGAGTGTAAAGAATCTAGTTTAAAATCGATAAAGGCGCAGTCCTGCATTTTCTTGGTCACACCACCGCTGGTAGAAATGCGTCCACGAGAGGAAGATCAAAAAGGGTCCCTCTCGTCTCGAGTGTATATTGGCCTAGATTAACCCTGGCCAGTCGTCTCCGAAGATGCAATGCTCGGCTGTTCGACAACGCGATGTGTGAATCGCACTTGGACCGTGGGACGGAGTGGCACTGGCTATTCTGCTGCGGCTGTGACCGGGGGGTGTCCGCCTGTGTGCGCCACGCGTGTGTGTGTTGCGCGTGTTGTGTGTGTGTGTGCGCACAGGGAACAGCATCTTGTGCACGGCGGCGGACAGCGTGACGAGTGCCGTGCAGAAGGCCAGCCAGGCCCTCAATGAGCGCGGAGAGCGGCTCGGTCGAGCAGAGGACAAAACCGCCGATATGGCCAATAGCGCCAACCAGTTCGCCGAGACTGCACAAAAGGTTGAATGATGCACGTTCGTCGTATACACGCGCACGAGTCTTTTTAAATCCTTTATATTAAGTTCACATGCTTGCTTGCTTGCGCGCTTACGACCGTGCAAATCTTTCGGTCGTTTTTTAACCCACTTCCCGTGATCCAATCGAGCCGACATTTTGCACACAGACTCGTTGTGCGTGACAATTTATTTTCGTGAAATTTTTTTCCCAAAATTTTCCACTTTTTAGGGAAAAAATAATTTCACTAACACAATCATATATTTTTCCTAAACACAGAAAATGATTCAAGAAAACAACAAAAATGTACAATATAAACAATCATACAAAAATTGAAAACCTTATAATCCTTATATACGACTTTCCTTATATTTAATTTAAAATACCAATGTGATAAAAATGAAACTTTTACTCAAGAAAAACAGAAATGAATAATAAAATAAAACCGGTGCCACGCATATAAAGGATTTATAGCGAAAAACTTTTTTTTTACGGGTTAATTTTTTTTGTTGCACATTTCTGTGGATATATTGCATCGTTTTCGTTAAAGTACAGCATGTGCTGCGGTGATTACCTGCCATTGCCATGTGCATATTTGCCAAGAGCCCACGTTTTGAAGAGTGTACGGCAACCCATAATGATCTCTCTCTCTCTAATCAGCAAGCTGTTGATTCCTGTGTTGTCACTTACCACGAAATAATATAACAGCCCTTTCTCAATCTAATGCAGGGTGAAGGGCTGCTCACGCTGTGTAGGTCATGGGGATTGTTTTACCATACCTCACTGTGTTAGTCAGTGTCGGTTGGCTTAAGTGGGAAGCCCCGGATGGCTCCAGACATCTCTCACATCACTACTAAGCCAGAAATATAAATGATCATTGTAAGTGTCAATCGTAAAAATAATAGCGAAAATAATAAAGTAATAGGAACTTTAGCAGACTTTTCAAATTACTTATTTTAAAATGTGAGTTGACTCCAGTTGCATCCATTATACTGAATTCAGAAGATCAAGTGATGTTCGATTATAACTTTATATAAGCAATTTTATTACTTATAAAATAGTTACAACAGTTATGCAACTTTATTTTTTTATGTTTACGTATTTGACATGATCTTATTAGAACATATAGAATTGTATGTGGTAATTTTAATTTCAATATTTTGTGCCAATTATTATATACAAAAATCCAAATATAAATGCCGGGCCATTTAAGTAAATCTATTCATCTTTGTCAAATTGTGAAAAAATAACAACGCCTCAAGTTCTTTTTTAAAATACTTGCAAAGAACCCTCATTAATGTTTTAGCTGTAGTATAATTGGAACGTATCATTAATTACAGCGTTCTTGAGAAAAGGGCAAATTATTATCGTGGCAGGTTCCCTCATCAGGAGGTAATTGCCGTTATTATCATAGTCATTTGTGGGCTCGGTGGAAAGAGATGCAGTGGTTTTAAAACTCCTCCGTTGGAAAATGAACGCTAGAACGGCTGAATGTCTTCAATCCCTGATATGAATGTATTTTTCCTGAAATCTCAGGGCCCTCAATTAGGTGCTACTCAAAGAGGCTATTTTAGGAGAGCACGCTCCATTGTTTGCTGTTGAATTATGAACTGTATTGGTTCTGCCCATTTCCTCTGAGTCCTGCAAAAGTTAATGTTCTGACAGCTGGGCTGAAAAAGTGACCAGCTGATATTAAACCAGTGACGGGTGCATTGCCCACCGATTTGATGCCATACTTGAGCGAGCAATGCTGTTTTATGTTCAGTAGTAGGCAATGAACAATTCGCCCACCCACCTCCAGCGATTTGATATCTCATCAATTAAGGTCACGATTAGATTAATTAATCAATTCTTTTTCAACTTCTTGTCATCGTCTCATGTTAAGTTATTCTTTTTGTTCTGCTCTCATTCATATAGCGATGTCAACTTCATTATCTTAAATGTATCATGAGCCATTTTTCAGAATTTAAAAGAATTTGTTCAATGGGTGGGTACATTGTGCGAGTAAAACAAATATATCAATATTGATCGATGGATCAATGCATTGTTTTAGTATTGTAAAAAGGTAATTGAATCTTGCCGTGGTGTAATTCTTAGCACCCTGAACTTTGCATCCAGAGGTCAGCAATTCGATCTCCTGGTCCATAATAGAGGTTTTTGGGTTACATCGTGTAAATATAAAAGTCGTCGTTAACCAGTCACCACCCGACACAGCCAATTAGTAAGGTTTTGTCACGTAAACAAAACATGCCAATTAGTTACCAGTTCAGCACACCGCCTGTGTGTTGGAGAGTAAACCCACAGCATTTACAATTCGAGTACTACGTTTCACCAGCAATAACAACCAGCTTCATCAGGCGACAACCAAAGTTGTGGAGGAATCCTCGTGTTTCGGTCTTAAATAGAGGGATACATGTGACGTCATCACTTGCGAGCCAATCAGGTGCGACCTCCGGGGGGGGGGGGCGGTTAATTTATGCATATAAATTAGAATGAATATACATTAGCGGTTGAGTTATTCATAGTGTAATGAACGTGCATTATGCATGCACACCATGCACGTACGAATTGGCATGTTTTGTTTACGTGACAAACCTTACTAAATGGTTGCGTCGGGTGGTGGCGGGTTTGACGACACATTTATATTTACGTGATTTAACCTCTATTATCGATAATATCGGTCGTGGAAGCCTCTGTGTTAAACCGATCTTCTAGCACGGCATTTGAAACAATGTGCAAGCTTCAGTCCAGCCAACAACACAAATGGTTACAGCACAGTCGAATGTCAGGTCGCGGTGGGATAAAGTGTGGGTACTCCCATCAAGGGTGTCGCCATGGAGTCAACATTGGGGGGGACCAAATCTTCCAGAAAATAAATAAATCTAAATTTGAAAACGAATTTCCTGCCTAAAATTTTGAAAAATTCACTAACACATGTCATGGACTTTTTATAATTTTTTTCAATAATGTCTAATAGTGTATTGTATTACATTGCTCTGTTTTTTTCTTTTTTACCTTTTCTTGTTTCATTGTATGTAATGGCTGAGACTAGGGATTAATAAAGTACAACCATAACCACAATCATATAAACCGAAATCTATGCATTGTTATATGAAGACAAGTCCAGATATTGTGGCCAAGGTTTAGCAAATTGTTGTTTTTATTTACATAGCATAGCAATTTAAAAAATAAATATTGTTTATAGCAATATATTGCGGGGACATTTTGAGCATATTTGAATATTGGGGGGGATGTGTGTCCCCCGATATATATTATAATTACGGCCTTGACTCCCATCCATTCTAAGACGTCTGTGTTGATTTGTGCAACGAGCTAAGGCATTCTCATCGCTGCCAGTCTCATATTCACATCGCTCGTTGCAATGTTAAGGCATCGATTCCCTCTGCTGGATGTTTAGGAGCATAGCACACATGCATTTCCATTGGGCTGAAAGATTCACACGCCCATTTCTACAGGAGGAATTCGATGGATGATCGTGATTATTGCCACGGCTCGATTCAAGGATCGATTGTTTTTATCACACTGAATTGTAATGCCTCTTTTTGGCTGCACGTGTGACTTGAATCCACTCCGCGCAAATAATATGAATAGTCAAACATCAGTTCTTATGCAATTTTATGAATATATTATGAGCTTAAAAGTCAATGTTGTTAAACTGATATGTCGGTCCACCTTTAATTTCCAACAAACTGTGATGTTTTGTGGTGCGTTACACATTGTTTTGGTGCTGAGGTGGGTGCAGTGGTTAGCGCTCTGCGTTTACCGAACACTCGAGTTCAACTCCCGGCCATGGCTAACATTAGTGGGCGAGTGATATCCGAACCGGGCCTCTCCTCCACACCCTTTGATAACCCGCACTGACCAGAGTAGTGAAGTATGGTTCCGTAAAACAGCATGCCACAAATGGAGTGTGGTGGCCTCCATCCATTGGTGGATTGAAAATCTCTTGAATTGGTCGTAGTTATTTATTAACACAGTATTTGGCCTGATCGCCAAACGCACGTATGCAGGTTTGATGGGCGGCATGGACATTGGGGTATAAGAAATTATGGAACAGTTGGGGGTGCTTGGCAAAAGTTGCTGATTGTGGATTATTATTTTCTTTGCACTTACAGCTCGTGACAAAGTACAAGTGCTGATGGAGACCCTACCCTCCTGTCCTCACAAGGGAACCACCAGCGCACCCCCTCCACATCTGTCTGTGCTGCCCGTGTGTTTTTGGGAAAGTGACGTGCACTCTTTATCTGGTAAACCATGTATTGCTTTGTTTCGCGTTGTGTTATCTCACCGTTTCTGCACAGAACAATCCACAAATGTCAAGGGTAAGTAAAGGCAATGCGTTGTTCATTTGAAAATGAATGTGTGTGGTTTGAGTGCAGAGTAAATAGAACTGGAAGATAGAAATCGCAAGTTTATTTTAAACGCTTTAGTGGTTTAGGATTATGAGCAATAGCAATGTTATTCCTTTCGTGCTTGCAGAAGGTGTAACAAAGTAGCATCTCAGCTTTTGTCCAACCTTGAACAAATGTTGTTCACGTATGAACTGCACATCGCGAGATGAGTTTCCAGCATGAGTTGTGCTCGTGGTTTAAGCCAAACACATATTGATATTTAAAAAACACGCAAACCTATTGTTTTCTTTGAGTACGTATGTCCATTTTTGTGGATGCCACAGTTACATATGATGTCTAAAAATGTGCGGCAGATAGTCTACCTTCATTCCAGTATTATTGTGTTTGATAATTCACCTGCATCTGAAAATGGTGTAGAATCTAAACATTCCCTATTGAAAATAGGATATATTTATTTAATAGTTTTTCCTACAAATTTATTTTGCTTTTTGTTAACAGAAGAATATTGGGATGTGAACACTGGATTGAAAAAAACATTTGTTATCTGGTGGAACAATATTTTTCATTTAAAATATACAGTTCCGTTCTTTATATGTTGAATTTGTATTTAACGAAGACCTTTGCAATTGCTATAGGCGTTAGATATGGCTTTACTGCTTATCAGCAAAATTGTATATTGTCTACTAGGAGTGTACCTTTGGTTCGGAATCGCATCAACCCAATTGTTGCCAGGAAAATCTAGAAACGTTTTGGGGACTTGCCCAATTAAGGTTGAATGGGAACATGACCCGATCATCATTGGTTTACATCCTAAGGGGCTTATCGGGTGCCTATATTTAGGATCCGATTACGAAGGATTAACAATGTCTGTAGGAATAGAATCGATTGCCTGCCAGAGTCGAGATGTGTTTCGGAAACCTAATCTGTTTACCGTTTCACTGCAGTATATGAAGCTAGCGTGCCGATCTGTAAGCCAGTGCTTTTGGAAAAATTGGCAGATCGCGTGGAGATTTGTGCAGTGAGACTGCCCAATCCACGAGGCTGTTGGCTAGCCAGGATGAATCAATGTTCTGGTGCGTTCACGAACCCATCTGTGTGGACCTGTCAGTTCTACTTTGATGGGTATTGGTTTCCTCCCACAAGCGCACACAGTCATGAATGGAATTGTTCAAATGTCCCCAAGACAGGACCCCTCCTGAAAATTGGCTTTGATACTTACAAAGACTTTCCTGGGAAAATAGTTCACGCTTTAGTATTTCAATAACAACAACAACAAAAGTAACTTAACACTGTTGTGTGTTGTTATTTAAGTCTAAAGGGATTGTGTTACATATTCTTACGCAGTAATTAAAGTGATCTCAATTTACCAGGATTGGTGATTGTTGGTTGAATTGGATTGGGGTCAAATTGTTACCCCAATCTGAACGTCGTGATCAGATCCAATTGGGCTCTAACTGTGCACCCCCTAGTCGTCACAATATAAAACAAACCGCAGAAAAGTTGTTACGTGACATAGAGGCAAAGAGTCACTGCGGTATTTTATACTTGGTTCTTTGGAGTATTTTAAACTTTTTAAAATTAGTATTAATATATAGAGCAGTATTACACTTTATTTTGGATAATGTCTGGAATATGTATTGGAATGTGTACAGCTTAATGTCATAGTAAATAGTCCATAAACTTCCTAAAATTACTGAAACATCTTCATCAGTGAGATGTGTTGTCTGGCTGTGGTTCACCTCCGTAATTCTGCATCGTTAGTGAAATTCTGCTCGGGGGCAATGCAGCGAAGATGAAGGGGGTTGCGATGGGCGATTGAGTTGGGCTCTTGAAGGGTATAGCGCAGGCACCAGTAGCAATGCGACATCATGTCCCTGACATTGGTATTCACTGTTAATTATAGCACAGCTCCAGGGCATTTCCAGGGCAGCGGCATTTATAATTGTAATTGAGGTGATTAACGTGTGGCTGGCAATCGTGTGAGGGATGCTCCGGTTAGCACGGTTGGCTACGTAGGATACAAACGAGATCTTTGTTGTCAACTAAAACTGTAGAGAAGACCCAAACACGGTCCTATACTGATTTATTCTCTTTGCAACATTTTGGTTACCAGTTCGATCTCCTGGCGCCCCAGTTCAAACAACGGTGCGAGTTTCTTCAACATCCTCCGCCACTTGCCTCTGTCCACCCAACTAGTATGCACGGCTTAACCAAATTAGTCGATTGACAGACAGGTCGTCGTGGGTGCTGGGATTAGTTGAGAGTACTCCCCATGACATCTCCACACCTCCGATTAGCACGGTTGGCTACCTACGGTGCGAGAGGAGTTCGCCATACATACATCTAATTGGCGTGGAAGAGTAGGCCGAAACACCCTCGAGAAGGGCTATCAAGAGCTCACGGGAAGGCACTTCTGCCAGCAGTGTCGTAAGCAAATAATTGCAGGGTTGCACCTTTAGGTAAAAAAATGTTGCGCCCGCTGTTTTGCCCTTGGAACGTGTTTGCTTCATGTGGTGGGCTTGCAAATATATATATTCTGCGTACACATTTGCTGCAGTATATTATTGTTGCTGTTGTATGACTTGTAAGTAAATAAATATACGCTACAGTATTATATCGATAGAATGGCACAGCCCTAGATCACACCAAAGGAAACGTATATCCTATTTCAATATGATTTCTTTTTTTAAAATATTGGTATACCATATATGGGTTGCCATATTTTATTTGCTTTTAATGTAATATCATTAAACACAGTGCCTACTTAATGTTACATTGATGTGTTCACGTTCATGAGTCATTTTATATAGGGAGTGTAATGTAGGTTATATCAATTATAATTTCATAGTAGTTGGTGGCGGTCGTCATCGTGTTTGTAAAATGTGGCAAATGTAAGTTTGGTACAAGGGCTAGTGTGCATGGTTAAGAAAGACAAGAGTATTTTACAACCTCACATGTCTGGAAGGGGACAATTTTTGCTTTAAAAAAAAAGCTCCTATTGTTATTTGATGGCACAAAGAAACGCGGCAATGTTTTTCACGAGTTAATATGCCGGCCCACAGATGCAGCAATGCATGCCATGCCATTGTCGTTTGGCAGTATTGCAAGTAGGATAAACAAAGGCTGTTTCAGAGATTCTGACCACCGGAGTGGTGGCTCCGTTTTTGTGGCAAGTGGAATATTTTTTGTTTCAAGTGGTGCAAAGAAGATAACCAACAATGTGTAGTATAATCAGAAAAAAAGTGTTACATCAAAAGATGTCTCTTCTTAAGACTTTTAAACATATATGTGTGTTTCGTTGTGTGCGCTGCTACATATTTACAATATTGGTCGAGCATATTTTTGGGATAAATGTTTTTTTTCAAAATTATACTCTTTTTGGACTGTTGTTTCAATATGAAAAAACATTTGAAAAGAACTGCACACGTGTATAGTTTCACTTCTCACTCACCGCGTCAAATGACACTGGACTCACAACTGCATCTGTGATATGTGAGCGACACTTCCATGTATGTGTTGATCACTTCTGCTTGCATTGAATGCCTTCTTCGTATGCCTCCTCTTGTGCACTCTCTCTCTCTCTAACCCTGTTGCTATTTGGACTGGAAGGGCACGGCTTAATTTCCTCAGTCGATATATTCCAGAACGCTGCTTGGCTGGTTTGGATTATGGGTTTAAGGCACTACTACTAGAGTATAATAATCGTCTGTTATTGTACCCTATAGTCCTATGCTACTATGAATTAGGACCAAAAATAAAGGGACTTGGATGTGTCGCGACAAAAATGTTTCCTAGAACAGTGTTCTGGACTGTTCTGGATGTAAATTAAGCATTGTAAGGTTTGTGGTTGTGATATCAGTTGGAAAATACACTATCTTTTGTGGGACTGCATGTGGTGCACTATTTCATTGATTCATGCTCAACGAATTGGAGAGTTGGGTGGAGGACGGTGGAAGTATCAACATAATGGAAGCAATCCCAGGAAGCTGAACCACATAGGAGAGGGGTGAACACATTTTTATATATTCATGTATAAAATCAAGAATCAAACAAGGTTTGGGTGATTATTGTACCAAATGCTTCATTGTGCTGTTTGTGCATTTGCTCAGGTTTTTGTGCAATATACCTATGGACATTAATTGTTGGTTGTTTATTTTCATCACATTCAAGTGGGTGTTCGTATTACAATGGGCATCAAGAGTGGTAGAACATCACAAGGGCTCCAGCAATGTTGACCATTGGGGGGCAGCCCTTGCACTCTAATCTCGTGTGCACACTGTTCATGCCTTGGCACTGGACCGAAAGCAGCTGTGTTAATGAAGTCTCGTTGAACTTCACATTTGGGGCCCTGAAATGTTATTGATTGAACCAAGTAATGCATCACTCCGTTGATTATGCTAATATTTACCATGTTGACATAGCAACATGGATACCCATAATGCAATGCGCCATAAACATTTTCTAATGCTTATTTTAATACAAATTCATTTACGTAGTAATAAATGTATTAATATAGGGCTTGTTATTCGATAACCACTCATAGGTAATTATTACTCTTAATAAAAAAAAACTGGTCCTCACCAAAATTTTTAAATATAGATCAGGCCCTATCATGTAAAGTGCAGTTTCCAACTGTTATCCGCTGTCTCGCCTCTCTATGTGCTATGAAGAAGGGTCATTGTCTGAAACGTTGCCTTTAATATATGTTATTCTTCAGGCCGCAGTGTTATTGACCAATGTGTTGAGTGTAATGCTCGTTGCAGTGTGGTGTGCCGTCTCCTCTCGTTACCCAAGACACAACACGATTAGAATGCAGGTGGCAGTGTTTTTTTTTTATGTTAAAGCAATGCCAGCGGACCCTCACTTAAAACTGATGGCTTATCATGCCTTTTAATGATTACCTGCAATTGCATTTTGTAGGGAAACAATTGTTTAGTGAATCTTTTGTAATGTACTATTTACATTACATACTGAGAGTTTTGCTGAGTGGTCAATGTTTATTAAAATGTTCATGAATAAAAGGACACCAATAAATGTGTTTAAGGTTGTTTTTGCGTTGTAATTTACGTGTCATCGTCATTCATTATCCGTGATCCCAAAAAACCGTCGCCATATCTCATGAACCAGGAATGCAACATCCACCGTGAGTGCACATGAGCTTATTTTAAAGTAAAGTTTAGGTTTGATTATTGTTTACGTCTCATTGCACACACTTGATGGCTTGGAAGATGTTGTTCTAGATGGATGGAAAATAAATACTGCACTGTGATCTTTTTTTGGCAGTGAGACAAAGTACTTAGTTTAATATGCAGTACTGTACAATACAATGCAGTGCCCTATTATTTGATATGCAGTAGAACAGAGCTAAACTATTTGTCAAATGTTTATAGATAAATGAGTGATACTACAATTACGGTGTTCAATATTTTTGTTAAAAAAAACTGAGTCGTTTGAGCACTCACATACTAAGGAAATACAATAGTCAATAAAAACTTATAAAAATTACAAAAATATATTTTGGGATCCATATTTGCGTTATGAATGTATTTAATGTAGTTAATGTTACGAACAAGTAGTTTATATCCGGTCCAGTTGAAGTAAAATGAAATGCTATTTAAGTAAATAAATACAGTTAATATACAATAATTTCAAAATGTAATGTGCACAGTGCTCACACATTTTCAAAATGTGTGAACAAGCACAGAAGGCAGTGATGCACCGCCAAAAATTTCCCAAACTCTAGTTCTCTCTCTATATATATAAAGATGTTTTCAGCCAATTAATGAATGTTTACATATGGGAGCAAACCGGAGCACCCAGAGGAAACCCATGCTTGCGAGAGATTTGAGACATGCACATCCCATGCAGACCGAAAACAAGTCAAGTCCACCACATTTGCTGTAGTGTACTGCCGTCTCCTGGCGAGCTAGAGTATGGCTCCTCGACGCCCACGAGCTGGGAGTTTCACAACATTTGTGTTTGATCCACCAAACGTCGCCTTTACTCTGCTGTATTACAGGCACACAGCTGAGTGGATTATAGTCTTAAAAAATGTGCTCTTTGTATTCCCATGCCAAAAACAATCAAAACCATCACCTTGCCATACATAGCAGGGGTCACCAAAAACATTTCCAAAATCATGAGCAAACACAAGATCCAGGTTCGATTCAACACAGTACATAAAATTCGTGATCTGATCCCATCTGTGAAGGATGTGATCCCTGACATGCAATACCCCGGTGTCTACAAACTAAGTTGTGTCTGCGGCCGTAGGTACATTGGGGAAACTAAGCGACATGTCTCGGAACGTGTTCGTGAACATAAGGCAGATCTGAAACACGGGAGGACCAATACCTCGGCCGTGGTTGATCATTGTTTTAATACTGTGGGCACACACGGAATAGATTTTTCCAACAAAGATTCGTTCATGAAGCCATCCAGATATATAAACACAAACACAATTTCAACCGAGAAGATGGGTACAAACTGAGCAATTATTGGAATGACGTTGAAGTCGTAACTGGCTCTGATGTTTCCATCCTACCTGCCGATGTTAGCAGTTATTTCCGACTCTCTGAGTTGCATTGCCAGGTTGGAGGTCTTTGCATTGACAGGCTGTATGTCTTACTAGCACAGTCACCGATTCTCCTTTCCCTCGATGTGGCGGTGGCTACTTTCACAGCCTCAGGGCACCCTCCGTTCTCACAATACATTGGCATGCTAATCTCTGATAATAGGTTTTTCCCCTTTTTATGGCACCAAAACAGGTGTTAAGATGTTAAAACACCAAACTGAAACCTTTTGCAAGGAATGATGTCTACAGCTTTCTTTTGAGCCTCGTCTCAAACCGTGTTAGACCAGAGGACGCCAAAAGGCGTACAGCCCAAAGACAATGCACTATCAGAGTAATGAGAGCTCAGGCGAGCATCTACATCATGGGATCTCCTTTGCCAGTACCAAAATATGATAATAGGTTTTTCCTCTTTTTTCTGGCACCAAACAGGTGTTAAGATGTTATAACACCAAACTGAAACCTTTTACAAGGAATCATGTCTGCATTAACCGCAATGCTTGTGGTCAGAATGCTAACAAAACATACTCTGATAATATATGCATTGTCCTTGAAACTGAATGGTCCACACCAGAGACAGCTTTCTTTTGAGCCTCGTCTCTCTCAATACAATGGCCACCCCACAGCCTCAGGGCGCCCTCCGATCTTACATTTACATGCAAATACCATCTCTAACCCCGCCCACTTACCCTTGGGTTGCACCCATCTCAGGCCGATATAACATTCTATTTCAGCAGCTCTCTCACTGTATTTTTTCACCTGAAGACGATCGCTTGTGTTGCGATCGAAACGTCGTGATTTTTTATTATTTTTCTATCTACGTGATTTTACCGAAAGACCCAAAGAGTATGAATTCCTGGAGTCATGAAAGCTTTAAGTCAAGATATAACAGATCAGATTGTGATTTCCACACAAGCAAATTGATACATTTTCTACTCGACCGGAATTAGTTTTTTTTCAATTCTACATGAATGGCCTAATGGTTTATAATGTCATGCTTTTTCGTCTTTTTTAACCTATGTAGTTTTGCAATTACTCTGTAAATGCAATGTTTTGTTTCACATTTATCATTTTTGCTATGAAGATCGATGGCGAAAATAAACCTATTACAACAATTACATTGCTTGCAAGTAATAATGTTACGTGGGCAATTCCATTATTGCTGACCTATGTATGCACCCTTCCTCTGTGTTTTTGACCTCGGTTTTATTTGAATGCAAGGGTATTTACGTAGAGGTCATAGAAAAATATGCTTTTGCAGCGCTTGTTCACGTGGTACAACACACAAAGCTGCGTGCATTCCGCGAGTTCCGAAACATTTGAGAATGGAGATGAGAGCCCGGCAGTAATTACCAATGCAAATGTCACGTGTATAATCAATATCAGAAGCTGAAAACGGGTATTTGCACTCGCCTTGCGAGCAAGGCCTACAGTTGCGCAATGAATACGGCACTCAAGGCAACGCGTTTGTTTCAAAACCAGAATACTTATTTATTCTGGGGAAGCTCTTTTTCACGAATGTCCAAATGTTTAAATGGAGATGTCCTCTCTATTGAGAACTTCTTCTTCCGATATGTCCCGGGTTTTTGTGGACCACGGAGCCGGGAAGATGGACTCTTTGTTCTAGCTGTTTGACGGAGTTTCCCTCGGACTTTGCTGATTCGGGGATTCTCGGTGACTCCGCTGTCTGGCTGTGCGTGTATGGGTGGTGTCATTTTAGTTTTAACTGAGTCTTTGATGTCCTTCACTCGTTGTTCTTTCATGTCTTTTTGTTTTCGCTCCTGCTCCCTCACCCCTATCTTTTTTCTCTGCTTTGGCCGAGTGGTTTTGTAATGTTGTGGTTGTAAGGCACTTTAGAGATGCATTTGGCATATAAGCACTAAATAAATACCAACGCCTTGATGTTCATTTTCATGAAAACGGCCAAGATATGAAGATAGAAACATTTTACTTTTCATCGTGGCGAATCTGAATATATCTCTATGCACAAATGGCTTCTTCCATTGGGCACTGCACTGGCTCGATGTGGCATATCATTGTGTGAGCCTTGTACAACTGGGGAGGAAAGGGGCACCCATATCAGGCAGGTGATGCATACAGTCATTATTACCGTGGGCGGTTTTTTAGCCTTTGCACAAGGCTAGATGTAGACCCAGTTGCTTCGTTTAAGGCCAGAGCAGAGTAGCCCTGCCATTCGTAATTTCCAGTTATTATTCAATGCCATTGGTCGACACAATAACACAGATGTGTATGAAACACGCGAATTTAAGTGAGTTACCGACATCAGGTTTTCACAAGTAAAGTTGTGACATTAGTTGCGGTTGTTTTGTTTGGATGAAACAACGGAGATTTTCAACGTATATGCAATACTAAAATGGAAACTGAATAAGCATGGAATGCGAACGAGGTTACGTCGCACGAAGAGATGGAGCGATGAAATTAACTCATGTGCGGGTACTAGGTAGATTTTCGCATTGCAGGATGGTGTGAGATGGTGACAGCTTGGCAAGGCCTTCATCCAGCAGTTGATTGATCATGGAAGATTGATGATGGGGCATTTGGTTCCATACCAGTGTACATATCTATAGTCATGGCAATGTTCACAATTCACAAAGTCCACTATAGTTTGTTTTTATTTGCTGGTAAGGAGTGCAGCTTGTTTAATTGACGACTGGTATGCATGTCAATGTTTATCGGAATGCGCCAACGCTTGCCTGTAGCCAGACCTGTTCGCCTGGGTCGGTTTCAAGCGACAGTTCTGCACAGGAACTTAAAGCAATGGGCAGTGCGTCCCGAATGCAAATTATTCAAACTCTCCGTGCTCGATTCGCCAACTCCGTGCACCTGAGTATACCAAGACCAGATCTGCGTTCAATGGGTGATAGTAATTCTAGATTTGAAGCTTTCGTGACTGCAAGGATTCATATTCGTAGGTTTTTTAGGTAAAGTCACGTAGGTAAAAAATTAAAATTAAAATTAATAAAAGTAAAATAAAAATAAATATCACGACGTTTC